GTGTGTGTGTGTGTGTGTGTGTGTGTGTGTGTGTGTGTGTGTGTGTGTGTGTGTGTGTGTGTGTGTGTGTGTTTTAACAGGAGATGGTAAGCAAGGCCTTCACAATCTGAATATGATGGAGGCCGCTGGCTCCGAGAGCTCTCTGGACCTTGACAATCTCAAACTGCTGGAGGTCAGTCCCCAACATTTTGTTTGATTATACTTTTCTTGCCCAGGAAAAGCCAGTGTATTCAGTGTAACAGCAAAGAGTTCCAGTAACACTACTCTAAATAACCATATGAGCCAATGAGTGGTGCAGGAATTAGTCCTAAAACCCACAAATGCTGCTTCAGTTCCACTTGAGTATTTAGTATTAGTTCTTAGTGATGTATGCTTTTTTTCAGCTCTTTACTTCTTTTATACCCCAAAATCTTGCCTGAAGGTATGAGCCTGTTTCAGCATTTCTACACACAGAGCAGGGCGTATGTCTGTGAAGAAGGATGGAGAACGTGAGCTAGAAAGAGAAACCAAAGTCAAAGAGGCATAAATACACCCAAAATAAATCAAGGTTTATGGTTACATTTGTCATTTCAATATGACCTTTACATCAGACCATCCGATCTCGGCAGGACGCAGTGGGTCGGAACAGAAATAGGATTTTGCTTACAGTGACACAGGATCCTGAAAACCTGATAGGGAAGCGGGAGAGCTCATATTGTGATAGGAAGTCAATGAAGTATGGATGATATGCAGTCACAATGACGGTATAAGCAGGGTGTGGGGATTAGAATGCAAGCAGGAAAAATACATTATATAAAATCCAGACGAGCGGACAGCATGTATAATTACACTTTTCTGAAAACCCCACTATCTGCATGTTTTTGGTACAAGCTCAATAATTTTTTGCAATTAAAACACTTTTCTAAAGAGCGACGCAATGCTATTTTGGTGCTGCTACTAAACTTGTTTGTCAGATAAAAACGGAAAGGACATTTATTTATTTTTTGTCAGCCTTGAGCCTATTATTGTTATTACCGTATGTCCATTGGGAGGATGAGTAATAATGATTTAGCACTCACCACCTCCTTTTAGAGATCTAGGTAGCTTAGATTATTCTCCCACAGTGTGATGTAAAACGGACTGAGTGTAAAGTGTAAACTGTTTTAAAACGTACTATTTAATGTATGTGAAGTTAGTCGTTGATGATTATTACAAGGAGAATAGTACCAAGCAGTACCTTGTCTGCCTCAAGCATGCTTTAGTCTCTGCAAGGAACTGAAAAATGTAAGAAATCTGTGCCAATGGCTGACTGGAAGGCAGATAATCAAAACATCTGATCTGCTTTTTAAAAGAGCCCTCAGTAATATTAACTGTTCGTGATTTTTGGTATTGAAGTATTCTGAGTTAAATACGAGTTGCTTTGCTTCTTGACAAGACAGAAAGACAGCCAGCCAATCAGTACTGAACTTTGTGCCACTCGAGAGAGAAACACTGATGTACTTTTTCTATTCAGTGCATTTCAGAAAAGAGCCAGAGCACTATCTTTTCAGGCAGGAGTTGAATTCAGAACTCTGTCCTTGTGCCTTATCAAATGCAGGCACACGTTCTTTTACATCAAACTCATTGCAGCGGGGGAGGGGAGCCTGACTCAAAGACTAAACAGAGTCAACTGTATATCCTATAGCCAGAGATTAATGTTTTTAGCAAACGTGGAGGAGGAAATCACAAAGACACAACCCTGATTTGTTCCTTCTCCTAATGCAGATGACTTTTAAAGCAGAATGTTCTTAGACTTGAATGGCATGCTGGGCTCTGGCTGATTCGGACACTAATGATGTGGAACTGACTTAAGGCCATTTGAACTGTTTAACCCTGCTGTTCGCCTGTAATTTAGTTTATTTCCTTTTTTCCTTCTGCCTGCCTAGCTGTCTTTATTTGTGTAACTCTCTTTATGTGTTTCTATTTTTTGCCTCAAGTACCATTCTTTAACAAACAAAAGTATTATTTTATCCACTCGGTTTTCTTCATGTTTTTTGAAGTGAGAGCTAAAGGTCTAGAATTACAAAAATAGTTTTTCTCCTCCAGCTGATAGGGCGTGGCAGATATGGCGCAGTGTACTGTGGCTCTCTGGATGAGCGGCCTGTGGCTGTGAAGGTGTTCACTGCAGCCAACCGGCAAAACTTCCTGAATGAATGCTCCATCTACCGGCTGCCGCTGCTGGAGCACGACAACATAGCCCACTTCGTTGCTGCCGACGAGCGGACAGGCCCTGAGGGACGCACAGAGTTCCTGCTGGTCATCGACTACTGCCCACATGTGAGTAGTGGGGGGAGTAGGAAGTGTCGTACTAGTGTAGTGTGTGTGTGTGTTCAACATAAAGACCACATTATGATACCTAACAATAAGAATTTAGTCCTAGTTGATTTTGGGATACTGGTAACTGGTAAATCAGTTCTTTAACACTTTATTAATCATTAAGAACCATTTATAAACCAGTTCTAACATACATCAACACAGGCTCACTATTTGGCAAGATGACTAAGCCTTATATTGGCACTAGCTTACTTTGTCTTCTTCATCAGCCAGCATCCTTGGTATCCATCTTGATGTTTCTTGGCATCTCTTTATGACCATTTATTTACGAGTTACTAACATTTATAACTGCCAAAAGGGAGGCTTATTGTAAAGTGTAAAACACATTCCCATGTATTAATGAGCTACTACCGTTTCTAATAAGGCTTCATAGTACAGAGAAATGTGGGCTCACTATTTGGCAAGCAACCGGTCACAGTCGCCCTGTTTATCTCATCTCTTATAAAAGCTTATTAAGGATTTATAAAGTGTTCACAACCCAATTAATAAATGAATTACAAACAATTTGTAAACCCTTTATAAGGGTAGTCTTATTGTAAAGTGGTACCGAAATGTTTGTTCGCCACAGAGATTATTTTCTGCAATTATCCAAAAGCCAATGGAAAAATCCCACTAGCTTTGCAATACTAACTTCCAGGTCAGCCTCCAAAAACACGTCATCCCTTCACCGCTCTACTAAGTGAGATCATGATGACGCAGATGAGGTTTAATAAACAGCGTGCTCAGAGGGTGCTTCATCTCCCATTAGCTTCCAGTAAAGCCTTCCCTCGCCTCTATGAGTAACTCTTATTCTGTTTGATCCTCCTTGGTGTTCCTCTAACAGGAAAACACTTCTGAGGACTCAGGCTTCTCTGCAGCACTTAATGTTCCTTTGTTTGACAGATGTCGCTTCTGTCAGCTGCTGCGAAGTTCCCCAAACTGAGACAGAGGAGTAGAGACTACTACATGAGATTAGAGATAAAATGGAACTCTATTTACCCCCAGAGCTGGGGAGTAGTGGAGTACAAATACTTGGTTACTGTACTTAAGTACATTTTTCTGGTATCAGTACTTTACTACACTACTTATTTTTCTGACGACTTTTTAGTTTGACTTCTTACATGTTGAACCCAAATACCTGTACTTTCTACTTCTTACATGTTGAACTCAAATACCTGAACTTTCTACTTCTTACATGTTGAACTCAAATACCTGTACTTTCTACTTCTTACATGTTGAACTCAAATACCTATACTTTCTACTTCTTACATGTTGAACACAAACACCTGAACTTTCTACTTCTTACATGTTGAACTCAAATA